ATATATATATATATTATAAAATATATAAAATATATAATATATATATAGAATAATTATATTAATATTACTATTACATACCCCATAATGACATAAATATAGAAAAAAAAACAGTAGATGGATTATCAAATAAATATGTAATTCTTGCATGTAAACATGTTTCTTTTAAATCCCAATATCCACAAAAATGATCACATAAAGGACACATTTCAATAGTACCATTGAAATTGCAAATATCTTCACTTGGTTCATTAGAATATAAAGTCGCGCAACTGTATATGAAACATAAAAGACCAACAATACTAGCAGGTATCAACATATGTGTATAAAATCCAAGCCAAGCAAAGTAAAGTCCAATTTTTACTCCAAAATATTCTTTGATGTAATCTAATGGTTGATAATGAAGACATTTCTTTATGCTTGCCCATTCTTTGTACAAGAGATATCTCATAGAATCTGGTGCTTGTAAATCACCCTAAAAAAAATTATATTTTAAATAAATTGATTTTATCTAAATAAATAATATTTATAATATTTTAATAAATATTTTATTAAATTATTTGTTTATTTTTTTTTACTTTTTTATTTTATTTTACAATTCGTAAACTCTAATATTATATAATATTTTCAAACAAAAATTTTCTTTTAATCAAATATAATTTATCAAATGATATTTATTTACTACTTAAAAAATTAGAAAATATTTATTATGAAAAAAATATTAAATATCAGTAAAAATAATAATTTTTTCTAAGATTTCTTTTGTCAAATAGAATTTCAATTGATTTTATAAAATAATTATATAAATTTTAGCATAGCATAAATTTTAATATAAATATATTTTCTTTTAAATAAATTTTCTTCTTTGAAAAATAATATTAAAAATATTTTTAATATTTGAAAAAAAGAATTCAATAAACTTTGAACATTATCTTTTTTATATAAAATATGTATGATATAATGAAATTAAAATATTTTTTTATTTTTATTTAGGTATTATTTAATTATGAAAAAATAAAATCGAAAAATAAACAAATTTTTTTTTTTCTAATTTCTAGTTTTCTCTAATTTCTTGAATAGATAATTAAAATTCAGTTTACTATTTTAGATAGAAAGAAATTGATTATAAGCATCTTAAATCATTTATTCAGATCATATCAAATATATAGCAATTATTTTATTTTTTTATATATTATATACTCTTAATTTTTCTTTTATATATATATAATAATAAATATATATATAAAATATATATATATATATACTTATTCTCTGTAATATAAACTCTGTAATATAAACATTATATAAATATATATATATATTTACTTATTCTGAGTCTCTATGATATTAATCTGTTTTTATTTAATAATTATGATTTATATTTTTAAAATCATAAATAAAAATAATATCAAAAAGATAATATTCTTATAATAAATATAATTCTTTTATAAAATTTTCATTCATAATTTATTTAACCAAATTTCTCATAATTATTTAATTAAATTTGTTTATAATTTCTCTTATTTAGAAACTTGTTCATACATTATATAATGCAAAAATAACATAAATAATATTGAAGCTTATTTATTTAAAATTTTTAATAAAAATTTTTATCATATAAAAAATATGAATTGATAAAAGTATTCATGAAATAATAATAAAAATGGACATTTAATTCTATATAAGGATTAAAATAAATTTGTAAAAATAAAAAATTTTTGGACTGGAGAACTTCTCTTATTACAAGCTATTGCCACCTATTTTATAATCAAATTAAGTTCAATTTTTTTTCTATGTTAATAGTTTATATTAATAGTTTAAACTTTTAATTAAATTATTAATATTATTTTATTTAGCTATATTTTATCTAGTATAAGAAAATTAAGGATAAAACACATAAAATTATATAATAAAACATAAAATACATAAAAATATATAATAAATAATAAATACAGTACTCAGTTATTAAATACTATATTTTAAANATTATATATATATATATATTATAAATAAAATATTCACAAAATATTTAAAAAAGTAATACTTTAAAAAATTTCTAAAGTCTTAAACATGATATACCAACAAAACCTATAATAAAATAACAAAAAAATAATTATTACTAAATATATAAATGATTAAATATAAAAAAAAGTTAGTAAAAATAATCATTAAAAATTTTGCATTTATTTTTATTTTTTTTTTATGTTCATATATTAGGGTAATTTAATTTAAAAAATATAATTTCATTTTATTTTTATATTTATATTAAAATTCAATTATTAAAAGATATATTTTATTGATATGAATAAGTATATAAAAATGAATTACATAACACAACAAGTATAATACATCACATATATTTAATATAAGATCAAAATAATTGAAAATGAACAACTAACCATTAAATTATTGAGTCCTTTATTATTATCCTTTTTTCAATATTTAATTTAAAAATTTTTCAATATATAATTGATTGTTTGGAATATAACAACTTAAAATGGGCAAGCATAAAATAATAAGCTTTGTTGATATTATCATATATAGATACATTTAAGTATTCCATATAATAATCCTATAATCCTAAAGTTTCTGAAGAAAATATGAGTATACATATATGTAATTTAAGCATAAAATTAAAATAATTAGCATAATAAATACAGAATTTAAAAAAATACAATGAAAAAAACAAAAAAATAACTTACATCATGAAGAGGATATGCGGCTATATATGCTTTTTCCGAAATCAATCTATCTATTCCAAATGCAAAGTCATCATCCTTAGTTTCAGTAAATCTGGTTCTATCTAAAATAAATTGTACGATTCTAGCACGTGTTGCAGTAGTAAAAAAATTTGGTGAATCCAAATTGAATAAATATTCTTTATCACGGCTATAAACAGCTGTAAAATTATGTTTTAAAGTTGGAAATATTGTTTGGTTTACATAATACTTTTTCATAATTCTCTTGAATAATGAATTGACTTCTTTAATTAATGTATTACTACGATTTTCAAAAATCATCATGCTAGGTAATTCTTTCATTGGCAATCTAAGTTTTAATATTTCAGCATACCGTCTTAATACTTCTTTAGGTGCATGAATTTTTATGAAATGTAAACCATTTGGTTCTGCTTGTTCATATTCTAATTGTAAACCTTCCTTTTCTAAATTTTTTTCAAATATCTAAAAATTAAAAATGAAAAATTAAAACAAAACAAAAATTATTTCTAATTATATTATATATTTATATAAACTATATATAACTTACACGTCTATATTCAATACAACGGTACGTTTGAGCTTCTACATTGTATTCATCCCAAACAAGTACAAAATCAATTGTACGAATTTCATCACGAAAATATAAACTAAAAATTGTTCCACATTTTGAAGCCTATGAAAAAAAGATTAATGTTTCATGTTAATTATTATTTATATTTTATATTAAAATACATATATAATTATAAATTTACCGATCTTGAACTTCTTTTACTGTTTCGTAAATCTGTACAACTACCATCAATGATTGTTTCATTGGTATCATTATTAAAAGTTAATGTATCATCATTATGTGTTCGTTGAATATCTTCCATAGAAATTGCACTATGCATACTATTTAAAGTATTCATGCTTCCAATATTATTTAATGAGATATTAGGAACACTTTGATATAATGTTTGTACAGATCCTGCATTTAAATTACTTTGTATTGATCGATAAAGACTTGCTTCAGATATATTATTTCCATGTCTTTGTATCCATGGTATAGAAACTTCTTCATCTTCCTCTTCCATATTTAATTGAATTGATCAATATTCAAATTCTACTTATTTGAATCAAATAACATATACTACATGCAAGCCAAATAAAAAAAAATTTATATAAAAAAAAATACTATAATATATAATTATAGAAGCATTTTAACTAATAATAAATTGAATTTATATTGAATTTAACTTATATTTTACAAAATAAATGAATATTAAGGCATAAATAAAATAATGAATACGAGCAATATTAAGATTTATTAAATTTATATTATTTATATAATATTTTTAGAGAAAAAATAATAAGTGACAAATAAATTTTTAAATTTTAAAAGTTATATTTTAGAAAAGTATAAATATTTTCATGTAAAAATTAAAATATATAGTATATTATAATGTATATAAAAATTTAGAAATAAATAATAAATTCTAAAAATAAATATTATGAATTATTTTTAGTATTTATTTCAATTTTGAAAAAAATGCATTTTTCCATTCAAAAAATATAAATAAATTTTAATACAATATAAAATGTTAGATCGTATTATATTGTGTTAATGTAAAACTAACTACAACATTAAATTTTCTACGAAAGAAATAACAATTAAAATTTATCCTTACAAAATTTTTATAATGTTTCCATTGGGAACCCTTAATTCCGGATGCTGTTCAGATATGAAGCAGGAAATTGTCACATAATTGTGTGAATTGTGTGAATTCCATTATACAGCACTTTTAACCTTTGCTTTACTATTTATATTTTTTTATAAATAATTAATTTAAATGATTAATTTATGTGTATTTTTATAAATGTGACGTATTTTAATGTATTAATTTTATTGTATAAAAAAATACGAAAAAAAAACATGTAATGAGATAAATATATAATATACATTCATATATAAATGCATATGCATCTCGTGAATCATATTAACATGTAAGCGATACAAAAATGTATTAAATGATTATGTGATAATAAATTGATGCCAATTATTTTGTAATTTAATTTATATAAATTTTAAATTAAATAAATAAATTTTTTTCCTATAATAAAATATAAATTTAAATTGATTTAAAAAATTTAAATTTATATTTATTTATATAAAGTTACATTTATTTAATGTTTTTGCTATATATTTTGTTGAATAATAATTTTAAATATTATTAAAATTATAAAAAAAAAAATAAATTTTGTTTTAATTTATAAAATTTTATAAAATTTAAATTAATTTAAATTTATAATTTTTTTATTTTTTTAAATGATAATACAAAATTATTTTTTTATAGTTTCTATACTAAATGTAAATTATATTTTCTATACTCTAAATAAAAATTATATAAAGATTCTTTTTATTTGATATATTATCTATTATTTCAAATTAAAATTTATCAAGATATTTAAAATTAAAATACATCTTTTAATAATACAAATATGTAATATTTTATATTATTTACATATTACATAAAATTTGTATTTTTGTTTTTTATTATACATTAATCTCTTACAATACAGATCATACTTCTTGCATAACTAAAGAATTAAGTTCATCTTCTCCTGGACATAATACAGAATCTATATTATAGAATGCTGCATGTAAAGTTATTAAAAACCAGGATACACCTAAAATCAAATTTTTATATACATAATATATAATATTATACACATATATAATATTGTATATTATCATATCAAAATGAAAATAGAATTATTTTATTTACCAAGAACCCAAAATAGAGCTGCACCAGCACCAACCAAATAAAAAATTGGTAATGAACAAATTCCTACTAAAGTATAAACTTGAGCTAATGTTAATTTATGATTGAATATCATAAGTTCCTGTTTAGCATGACGCTGAGAAACTTTGTAACAAGTGCCAAGAGATGCAACAACAGCGAATAGCAACAATGGTGATGTAATTCTAAAAATAAATGTAATTAAATATTGTATTTAATTGTTAAAATGTATGTAATTAAAATATGTAATTTTGAGATTATTATATTTTAAAATATACTTATTCTAAAGAATAAATTTTGAATGTAATAAATCTTACAAACAATAAATAACTAATCCAACAAATACAAATAAATAATTGCTTTGGAAATATTCAATATTTCTAACAATTCTTTTACTCAATCTTGGTAAACTGGGAGCAGGTCTTATATTGCTTGTATTAAGAAACAAAGACCATGATCTAATATTTGCTTTTCTGTGTTCAATCCATTCATGAGCTTGAGGATATCCTATGTTATTAAGTGGGAGTTGTGGTATCTGTAAGAATTCAAACCTATAAAACAAAATATACATATTATAAATATTACTAATATTTCATTAAAAATAATTAAACATTAAAAAATATTTTTTAAATATTAATAATAAAGAAAAATTTACATAATAAATTTTAAAAATAAATATAATTTGAGAATATGGTTACTTTAATTAACTAACAAATATATTAATAAGATGTCAATGTCATTAACATTGTAAAATTTTCTTATAGGTTAGATAATAAATATTTGACATTTTATTTTTCATCATCATCCATGTATCATGTATTTGAAGATTACCCAGTGTTAGATTTTTGTTTTTGTTGTGGTATTTGCATATCACCTACGATGTCAATTTCTACGTTTGCCATTATCTTTTAGTACTTGAACTTCTTAATTTTAAATGTATGATAAAGAAATAACTATCCTTTCTGTTTTATTCTATGAATCTCGTATCTCCACCGCAAGGCGTCGTAGCATCGTTTTAGAAAAAACCCATCGTAGGCACTAAAATTCCCATCATATCGCATATCGAACTACTATGTTACCCCTACCACTGATCCGACTATACCAACACAACCAATGTCGTGTATACAATGCTACAGGTTGCAGCTGCTCGATAAAAATTCTTTCACTGCTCCGTAAGGCTCTTTGTCTGAATAAGGTAAAAGACGCAAAAGATTTTTCTTTCCTTACGTGAGTTACAAATGTTTTCACTTAAGAGATATAAAAAAAACTTTTTTTTTTATTTATCTTAAATCACAGTATGTTCGCTGCATGTTAATTCTCATTGAATTTTGCTTTTAAATTGAATAATTTCATTTTTTTTCAGGAAATCAGATTATATATATTGTGTCTAGATTTCCTGAAACTTATAATTTAAAAAAGAAACAGAATATTATAAATAAATTCTTTTTTGCAATTAATAAATAATATGATAATCATTAATAACATTTTTTTTTAAATAAATTTTAAATAATTTGATCTATTTATGATATTTAAATTCATAGTTATGAAATTTATATTCAAATTAATTTTGTTTTATAAATTTTTGAATTGAAATTTATACGTTATGATTATATATTAATAATATAATTTGTCAATATATGATTATTTCTATAGAAGATTGTTTAATTTACTAAATAAAATTATCAACGCAAAGATAGAAGTTGTTTTCATCTATTATTCAACAAGAAATTATATTTTTTAAATATTCTTCGATTTTAGGTGAAACTTCCAAAATAAAATGTGACATAAAGTTTTTAGAATTAGACTGAGAATGGTTTCACCCTCGAAAATGTGTGCAGATGACGCTACTATGTATTAACATTGTGAATAATTACAACCAATAGCAAAACGCGTTATATCAAATTCAATAGCTTCTCGTTCTCGAAGAAGCTTCCAATTGGTTAGCTGTAATTTCCCAAGTAACATTGGGCCACCCGCCATAACGAACATAGCGTGGTACGAGCGATTATTTGAATGAATGTCTTCAAATGTAATTGATAAGATATTGTAATTAGTATTTATTTTATTTCAGTATTATTAGTGTATACGAGGTGATTATATACAAGGAAACGTATGGTGACAATTTGAAAACATGGAAGTTGCACAAAAGTTGCATTTCGACGCATGCGATATTCAGGACGAGGAGCTAAACATTAGCTGTCGTACGAATAGCTCCGGTTGTGATGTTGACGATATTTTAGATTCTTCAGCAGAAGATCTTGGATGTTCACCCCCACTTCAACCAAGAAAATTATCATTTAGTAATACAATGGACTGTAGTGACAGTGAAAATAATCAATCTGTGCCAATTAATAACAATAAGACGCCGATCAGTAACATGACAGGTTAGTATAATTTTCAATTTTATTTTTTTTGCAAGTTGTTTTTATATAAAATTTTGACTGTAAGATCACGAGATCTTGACTTTAAAGGTATTCTTCATTATTTTATATATATTTTTATGTAGTTATATCAAAAATTAATTTTATTTGTATTTTCTTTTTATTAGTATTTTTAGATATTTTTTATATAATATTAAATTTCTAAGTATTATATTAATTTTCATTCTATAATGACTTTTTCATTATCGTAATTCTATATAATTATTTTATTAATATATATTTACTTTTGTATTTATAAAAATTTATTTTATAATTAAGCATGTTTTTTTTTTCAATTTTTTATATTATTTTAAGCAATATGCATGGTGTGGGAAAATTGATATTTTTCATGGACAATTGTTTTACATCATGCTTGCATGTATATAATTAAAAAAAGAAATCGAGAAGTAATCAGTAAATATAATTATACTATGTACTGTTATTATTTTAGATTTTCTTTAATTGTATATATGTATGTTATATAAAAATTTGAAAAAAAAAGAATGTATATATACAAACTGATAAAATGTTGACAAGTTGATATAATTATATATAATTATTATATATAATTATTATAAGTTGTTTTCTTTAAAACTATTGCAGATATTGTCATAATTCTTTTTTTAAAATTAAAAGTTTAATTAGTAAATAAAGCAATAAAAAATTGAATTGAAAAAATTTTAAGAAATTTAGAAAGAAAAAATACTTAGTCTCAAAGAAGAAATGATGCTTTCCCTTTTTTTTAAATAAAATATATTACTATTTTATATTGTATATTATTATTTTTCATTATTTAAATAACTGCTATTAAACTTAATGATACTTATTTAATATATTTTTTTTATATTTAAAAAATTACAATAAAGAATATTCTATATAAAAAAATATGACGAAGAGAGTTCATATTATTGAAAATATATGATATAAATTTTTTCTTCAATATAATTTTAGATAATGTAGAATATTTTGCATTAACTCTTTAATCATATAAAAAAATCAAAAAAAAAAATATTTCAAACAAATATTATTAGATTCAATGATAGTTATTTAAATAACAAAAAATTAATAAGTCATTGTTTAAAAAAATAGAAATAACATCTTTTCCAAGACTTGTTTTTAAAATTATTTTATTGTAAATAAAATTATTTTATTAATTTTTGTATATTTATTAATTTATGAAAAAAATACATTGTAATAGATTGAAAAATTTTCCTTCATTTAAATAAAAAATGAATGGAAAGACATATCTTTATAAAATAGCAGTAAAAAAAAAACTTTTATTTTTTATTTTTAAAATTATATAACATAATTACATAATTAACATAATTTTTCTATATAATCATCACTTATAACAATACATTTTCACCAATGCTGGTTTTTATAATCCATTTATAAAAAAGTCAATTTTTTCTCCAAACTGCATCTATTATATAATGATTTATTTAATAATTTTAATTATTTTTGAAATTAAATACTAGAAGAGCAAACATTTTAATTGTAATGAAAAGATTTCAGAAATGAAAAAATAGTTTCAAGATTTTTTCATGAATAATTTTCAAGATTATAAAAATTAATGCAACATTAGAGAAAATATATTACAATAAATGATGATTATGTGAATAAATAAATGTATAATTTTAAAAATAAAAAATAATGGTTTTTTTTATTATCTTGTTTTATAAAGATATTTCTATTCATTTTTTATTTGTGAAGGCAAAATTTTTCAACCTATTTTTATATATATTTATGTCAATATCTATGATAGTTTGTTTATAATTATGATTATTGTTAGTTATGCTTTAGGAATTCTTATAATATCTAAATGAAACATATTTTTGTATATATGCAATGTAATGTCTTATAACAATATTACAATGAATGCTATAACAAACAATTTTTTTTCATTATATCAAAATATTAACAAATACTAACAAACATATTATGAACTATATTATGAACACAAAAAAATATAAAATTTAAATATAAAATATTAAATTTATAGCATGCATATTTATATATTGCATATTATATATTTATTATATATTTATGCATATTATATATTTTTTTTTTTTATTATTAAATTTATTTTTTAATGTGATATCTTTGTTCATTTTTAAAGACTAAAAGAAATTAATATACAAAAATCTTGATTGAGGCTTATTTATTAAATTATAAATATATGATATATGCAATAAAAAGATGGAGAGACATAATGGAGAATAAACTGTGTTTTCTATCTCTATTTTGCGTCATCTAACAAATCTAGCAAATAATGCTTTATATACTTATAATTTAATAAATTATCCTTAGCTGATATTTTTGTATGTCAATTTTTATATTTGTTTTTGTCTTTAAAACAATCCTGTGAATATTTTAATACCCTATATATTTATATACAGAAGTCCCAGAAATCAACCGACAAGATT